AGAAATATCATGATCGTTAACAAAAGCTTATTAGTGCAGGCATTAGAACAAGCTAATACTCATCCACCTCGAAATGTCGGCCCAAGCCCCACTGTTTCATCACCACCTCATAATAAATATTAGGTAAGTATAGGAAGTATTATTTGGATATAGATTTTTTGTATTTTTCTTCGTATATGCCTCAGAGAGGCACCCCTAAAGGGCCAGATATCATGTATTTTATCCTGTATTATTATCACATATTTTATTAATAAAGATTTTGGTTAGAGGAACGTACAAAGTATCATGTATTATTTTTGTGTAATATATATATGATCGAGAATTTTTCTGATCGTGACAATTGGTCACGGTTTCTATCACGTGTTTATTTTTATTTGAATAATTTCTACTCACTGGTTAATTGCATCAGGGTATGATCACGGAACGAAAGTGGATGATGGAAATCGTGATTATAATAAATTATATGAGCGATCAGGGTACGATCACAGAATCAGCAGAGTGTGTATATTAATTATGCAATCCGAACTAGATTTATTTTATTGTATTGCTATTGATGATATGAATATATGTTTATAAATTTTTAAAAATTTCCGGGATAAAATTCACGAAAAAGAATGCGCACGTGATTTTTCACAATCGATTATGCTACGAAAAAGTCAATATCTAATTTGAATTAATTTACGATTATGTAAAACGTTAATATGGGAGAGCAAAGCACAGAATCAAAAACTCATAAAACATTAACTCCTGAATATTTGAAGTGGCAAGCTGAAATTACTGTAGCACCAGGTATTTCGATAGATGAAATTCGTCCTAAGTTGTATAGAAGATATAAGAATAAAACTGGTCTTGATCCATGGAAAAATGATAATGTAGATAAACCCTTAACCCCTGAATATTTGGACTGGTATGCTAAATTACCTGAACCACCAAGTTCTTTGACTGATAAAATTCGTTTGATCTTATATAGTGCATATACGGAAGAGACTGGGCTCGATCCCTGGATAAAATCTGAAACTTCAGTTTTTGAGAAACCAGAAATTAATTCGAAGCTGTTAGATGAGATTACTGAACTTAGAAAGGAGAATATCAAAATTAAAACCGAGAATACAGAGTTAAAACAGGATTTAGATGAATTTAAAAAGGAACTAGAGTTTAAGAAAAATCGTAAATTTCAGGAAAAATGTATCCTAATAGCTCAAGTATTACTTGGGGAAAAGCCGGTAATTGAGTATCGCCCTCCCTTCTTGAATGGATTGGAACTTGATGCCTTCTTTCAAAAATACTGAATTGCATTAGAGGTACAAGGGGCTCAACATCGGCTTCATAGCACTAGCTGGTATAAGGATGTCAAAAAACTTGAGGATGTTGTAAATCGTGATCGGAAAAAAAGATGTATATGTCAAGATAACGGAATTTTCTTACTTGAGGTATGGTATGATGAAAATCCAGAAAAAGTTATCCCCGAAAGAATACAAAAAATTAAAAGTTTCGTTAATCAAGCTTCCAAAATTTTTGACCTATAATCAAATAATTTATAATATACAACTTAATGTTTAAATTGCAGATAAGCGTTCATCTATACTTCAGTATAAAAATTGATGGGTAGTTGATCAACCTGTATCACATATAATATTTATGTATTCGTGTGACCTGATTATTACTTTCCCTTTTTCGTAAAAATGATAACTTTAGAAGGTGACTCAAAGCGTAAACCGTCGTACACTACCAGAAGCTCTAATAGCGAGACATCAAGGTATGTATAATTGTTGCGCCAAATAACTAAAAAAAAGGAATAACAAGTATGTGTAATTGGCTTCTACCCCAAAAAATAAACTATAAACGCACGAGGATTTTAATACCTGTTAATATTAGAACTATTTGATTAAAATATGGCTAATTCTTAAGTGCTATTTTGATTAATCATGCGCAACAGCTCAACTTCAAGAGCCAGTTCAATTAGTTCAAGAGCCAGCTCAATTACAACACCAGTTGCCGAGACATTAAGGTGAATAAAAATTGTTGTGCATTTATAAATTCGTTGGCTAACTCTCCGAATTGTCCCTAGCGATGCTTCTAAATCGGATGATGTCTTGACAAAATTTCGAGAATTATGGTGGATTCAAGGGAATATTCACCCCAAAGCACATTGGGACGAAGCTTCGTAAGTATTTTTCTTATCTCACTCCCTTCTTCATTTGAATCAATAACTAACATCTGTTGTTGCTTCTTGGATGCATAATGTTAAGGTTGCCTTATTTATTGAAAAGTGATGTTGATTGGGAGAAATACACAGAGCGAACTGACTTCTTTAATGTACATGGAAATTGGGAGTGGATAGATGGGAATGTTTGCGTTTATGAATTGCCTTTAGGACCTCATGGGACTTGTTCTAGAGCAATTGAAAGATTGATTAGTTCAAAAGATCCAGAAATGATGCTTGTTAGTTTAGGAGATTCGCGTAAGTATTTATTTTTTTTTTTTTTGATTTTTAACAATATTATTCGATAACATAAATATGCCTCCTATTATTAAATAAAAGGAACAAGGGTTGGCGGTAGGGGAAAAGAAGCAGATGAGTCTTTTGTACCATTTGACAAACCTGAAATAAATTCAAATGGACGTGAAGGCCCTAATTCTGTATGTGGAATTTTAAATATTTTTCCTTTATAATAATCAAATTTCTAATGTCAATGATTAAATTTTAGCATAAACCGTGGCCCAATCTTGTAATAGAAGTCGCCTTCTCAGAAACTGAAGACCATTTATTAAATGCAGTAAAAGATTATTGGCTCTATCAAGGTAGAGCTCATGACGCAATTGCAGTAAAATTAGTACGATCTGATACAATTATTTCAAAAATTAAAGTAAGTAATAATATGAAGATATAATTTTTTTGGATTAGTTACCATCATTTTACAATTTTTATTTTTTGACAGGTATGGCATTTTTGCACAGATGACAGGACACCAATGGGGGACTTAGTACCAGTTTCGGTATGATAAGTTATTATTTAATTAATATGAAGTTGGTTGATAGGAAATGATTTTAATATACTTATATATTTAAAGGAATTTGAGTTTGAAACCATTGACGATAATGATCAATTTCTTATTGAGCCTCAACAATACACGATTAATATTAGAATAGAATGTCTTTTTCATGGAATGCCACCAACTTTCCAAACACCTTCATCAATTCCTAATCCTCTTACTGTAGATTTTTTTTATGTTTTACGTGCTATGAAAGGGGAACTTAAGATTTCATAAAATGCACTTTTTCTCTTCTCTTTATATCACAAAACGTTTTAATTAATAACTTATCTTTATGGTATAATGCATCAGTAATTACATCAGTAAGGCAAAAAGAAGGCAGTTCAACTTTAGACTCTGAATAATCTTCATTTCTATCATGTATTTTATTTTATTTATCAATAAAGCTAGATTATATATATTCACATTTACTTTGGCATGTGTATTTCGATATTTTATTACATTGGTAAATATAAATGGAGCAATTATTTATTTTAATAATGGATATATTTTTCACATATCATCTGTGTAGCTTTAATATAAATTTACATTTCACAAACCCGATACAAAATAAATGGATATTTTATGTCGGTCAATACTTTATTAATTCGTTATACAATAATAAAGATAGATCAATTCTATACTTTCACGTTTTCGTTGACCGATCGGTCAGTGAAAATCACGTGCCTATGGCGCAGTAACTAGGATTCGAATTTCTCTACTATAGCATCAATTTCGTCCCAGCTTAACTTGGAGATTCGCAATGCTGAATACGACTTAACCCTTTCTATTTTATCCTCACCAATCGTAGT